CGTCTCAGAAAAACTCATTTCACTCTCTTGAACCAAAGAACAAAGTTTTAAAGTCATGGTCCACGAGTTACGACCGTAGCTAACCATCGGGATGAAGCTCGATTTGAAAATAGAGAGCTTAGCCTCAAGACTCAGCTCTGCTTTGGTCACAACGGCTCCGCCAGTGCATGCAAAATGCCGTTAGCCATTCCAATTCACCGGTCGATCTCTTCGTCCAATTTTCTGTCATCACTAAACTCGATCCTGAGGTAAGCGAAATTCTCCACCTGTTCCGCTGCTTCTCCCTTTTTCTGGAATGCGCAGCGGGCAGGAGAACGAAAAACTAGACTGCTGATTTTAGACACATTCATACGCATGTCCCATTCAGCTGCGAACCTTTCAAAACAGCGCTGGAGATAAGATTCAGAAGAGGCCAACAAAACAACGTCCACACAATCTGCTCTTGGTTGTTGTAATAATCTACAAGAATAGCATGAACACGGTTTGGTTACATTCTATACAAATGGGGTGGCAAAATTCTATAGGTCTTCCGCACTGAGCTGTCGAAAAGCTGATGATATACGCATTTCATCGTGCTATTCCGACAATTAGATGTGCATGAATGCATCATAATTGCAGTTAGTTATCAGAGCTGTCATTGTTTCATCATCGTCTTGTAAAACTAGTAGAGCTAAAACAGCAATAATCCAAATTTATGTCTGACCGTCTGAGAGAGGGCTATGAACACCTTCTTTGAGCATCGAATCGTGCATCAGTATACCTGGTACAGAGAAACTGCTGCACAGAAGTGGATGATCGATTTAATAACCGCATCATCTGAGTTACAAGGCTCTATAATGAATACATATAAGCAGAAAGATAAGCTTTCAAAAGATGGCTTTGCTCTCCGAGTTGCAGACCATTTTTCTCCGTTCGCAGAATACAACTGGCGATCTGTTACCGGAACAGCTTGCCACCTGGTGAAGCTTCTTAATATTGCATTAAATGCTGTCGAATAAACCGTGCTTTCTTGTATCATCAGTACGGCATTCAACGAGAACCATCTACTAATTATAATACGCCGTTATATGCCCGTAAATGCAATTCACCGACGACTTTTGCGTTCAATTTCTTATTCTATTCCTCAGAAAACGGCAATGCGGTAAACACTGAAAGCAATAGTAAGCTAAGTAAAAACACCATTACAACAAAATTCTCTGGCATAACGATTAAAAACCTTTATAACTCGTATCAATACTGCGCCGTAGATGACTGGAGAGGTCATTTTTTGTGTTTGTTTCTCAACTCCTGAAATTAGAAAAACCAGCCTTTTCTAAACGACCTTGAGTATGTTTGGCTGAATTCTGCTCAGACGTTCATTTTAAGGTCTACGAACCTTTTCCTGAACCGTCAGTATGGTATGTCGTGCCTTCATTCAAGGCATACAGCTTAACATGCTTTATATCTTTAACTTAACGTAAATAATTGAACGCGAAGTCAAAAAGCAGACATAATTTCGATTTGAAAAAAAGTCGAAAGTATTGAATTCATAATGAAAGAACCAATTTTTTTCTGGAGTTGGCTTTGAAAA